TCCCCACATGGTCTCCAGTCGCCAGGATCTTTCTTCGGCACCATGTGGAGTGGCGACGCCCAGTTGCTGGAGGAAGGCCACACAATGCCAAGTTCAAGCATGTGCTCAAACTCACGACGGGCGATGGCGAGGCGTTCTCCAGATAGTCGACGGGGTCGTGTAAAAACGGGAGGTCCAGTGGTCACAATGTGGTGAGTGATGGAATGCTTCACCGGTGACTCTCTGGTGTGCGGCTTCGTGATGCTGGGAAAGTCCTCGAGTATTTTTGCATACGGCGAAGCAGGTGTGAGAGCTCGCAGTCCCATTGGCGAGGAAGTACAGAGTACACCGGTGATGGAGAGGCGGGTGTTGAGATCAATGAGGCGATGAGCATGCATGTCCACAGCAAGGTTGAAAAAACTGAGGAAGTCAGCTCCAAGAACAGCTTGCGAGACGTCAGCGAGGATGAAAATCCAGCGGAGCGTACGGCGTAGTCCAAGGTCAAGTGTAAGAGAGCGTTGGCCGTATGTGCGAATGGCGGAATTGTTGATCGCTTGGAGTGGGCAGGTCTGTTCGTTGCGACGGCGATCTGCACACGAGGCCGGGATGACGCTAACCTGGGCTCCAGTGTCGACTAGGAAGCAAGCGCCAGTGATCTTATCAGAAACATAGAAAAGGCGGCATGACTTTCGACCAGTACCACTTGCTGCCGTCAGTGGCCGGTCGTCGCATTTCCCGACCAGGAGCACGGGCGAGTGCACTTGCGAGCAGAGGCACCGAATCGGCGGTGGTACCAGCACACGGTTGAGGATGAAACGTCCCGCGGCACGTCGGGTGGCCGAAGTTCCGGAGAACGTGGGGGCGTCGAGGAGCGACTCTGTATCTAGAACCTGGATGACGGTCGACGATGCGCAGGTAGAAAGTCATCGAGGCGCCTGACAAGGGCGTCCAAACGGTTCTCGATGCTCCCGAGCGCCGGGTCTGCAGCGGTGGCCGGTAGCGGTGTGGTAACAGCGTTGAGGCTATGTGCCCGCGAGTAGTCCGCCACTCGGTCAGCCATTTCAGCGAGTGTGTCTAGTGGGACATCTCCTGCAGCTACGAGGACCGGGACCATGCTCTGCGGTAAGTGCTGGAGGAACAACTAACGTAACAGCTTCTCCTCTTGAGGGGCGGAGGGGCCGCCAATGAGCTGGCGCATGCGTCGCAGGAGCTGTGATGGGAGACGGTCACTGAGCTCTGTAGCCGTGATGAGCTGTCGGAGTCTGCTGTGTTCGGACTCAGACTTGCGGGAAATGATAGCTGCCTTCAACGTGTCGTAGGGATGGCTCGGGTGCGGCGACGCTAAAATATCAGCTAAGTCGTCGGCTACGCCCGGAGGTAAGCAGTATACCAGATGCCAGTGCCTGGTCTGCTGGCTGGTGATTTGCCGTAGACGGAAGTGCGCCTCGACCTGCAGAAACCATGTGCTGGGGCTGTTGGGCCAAAATGGTGGCAGGTTGACATGTTGAATCGCAGTGACTGCAGCACCGCTAGGTCTGGCGTCTTCTTGGGCGTCAGGACCGGTAGGATTGGTGGCAGAGCCGGCGGGATCCATGGGGGATGATCGGGGCTGTGTGTTCTTTATCGGGTCACCATTAACTGTCGGAGCTAACACGGGAAAGATCTAGCCCTGACAGCGTTCAGTTTTCGAACTGATTTTTTTATTATCGCGCTGCACCCACCGCGCCGCCTAAATGCCAACTTCTTCTTCCTTGACGAGCAGCGCATTGAGGCGCTACAAGTTCGTCTCACGAATGGTCCGTGTTGTCAGTCTTCATCGTCTTCGTCGTCTCTGTTGTTTCTCTCAGCGATTTCCATCTTAATCTTCTTTCATAACGTCCCGCAATCACTCTCTTCCTGGTTTCCCATCTCTAACTTTCGTTCCTCGTCATATCATCTCTGCCTCAGTCATCATCTCATCGACTCTCATTGCTATCTCTTCACGCCGTTAGCTTCATTTTCCATTCCGTCTTTCTACCATCTCAATCTCAACGCTCTGTCTCTCTCCGACCCTCGTATGGTCTCATAGTCCCTTTTTGTAGGACCCGACTCCGCCCCTCTGCGGCACTTAACCGATTGCCACTGTTGACAGGACACATTTCTCTGTCAGTCGGTGTGTGTCATCTTCGACGGCCGCTCCCGCGGCCCACACCAGTATAAAACCCTCTCCCAAACAAAGCCGAGCAAGTAACAATGTACAAACTCAAGCCTCAGCGAGAGAGATGAGCGAGCCTTCCGAAGACACTTTAATTACGGGCGAACAATGGTCCCGATGCTTCCGACAAAGTGCGTCGCCTATAATGGCCAACGTCCAAAGTTTGCAATGTTGTGCCAAAATGTTTTCAGCCGAACCAATTGTCCCGGTTTCTGGTACTTGATGAGCCGATGTCCAGAACGAGTCCCGACGTCTCCATGCAGCTCGGTGTCTCCCGCGAAATTCTCCGTAGCCGCCGCTTCTTCGTCATTCAATGCCGCAGGTGGCCATCTGCGCAGAACGCAGTAATGAGCCCTGGATCCACGGAGGCTGACGGAAAGTCAGACTGGACCCGGCACAGGCGCCGCGGCAGGGTCGCATTCCCCGAACCAACAAAAGGTGCTCTGCTGCTCCCCCATGCCACAAATGTGAAGGGTGCGCGCGGATTACTTCCACCGTACACTGTCACACTGTCTGTAGACGACAAGGCGCCGCCCGGTCCTCGTGTTTGCGTGGGGGGCCCGCGAGAACAGTAGAAATAATCCTTCTAGGTACTCCACTCCAGAATGTCCATTCTTACACCGAAGGTTTTCTTTTCCTTTTTTTTATGCGTGGATTTAAGAAATGAGCGAAAACATCCTGAAAGGACCGGGGTTCAGTTCCTGTTTGCGGGGACGTCACATACCCATCATCCCCATGGTCGCTGAGCGATCGCAGCGCCACAGTCCCATCTGGTTGATTTTAGGAAAATCTATGAAAACAAAGTTTTCAAACATACAAATTTTTTAAAGTTCCCATTGAGAGTAAATACCTTTATGACTTTTAATTATCTCTGTTTATAACAGACACATTCAGAGTTTACATAAAAGCCTGTTGTAACAGTATGTACTTGTATCTTACATACTCCTTTCACAATAGATGAGTATCTTCTTCACTGGAGGTCTGCTGTAATGAGGTTATACTCTAATGATTAAACCATATTTTGAGTGACATAAGCGAACTCTGTTGGAATAGTTTGGTTAAAATTGCGTCCGTATTTTTTTTCTTCATTTTTAAAAATAAGCTTTTTTGAAGAAAGTCACATTACCTATTTTTTTTCCTTCTCACACTAGAAGTCTGGGAAAGCAATACTTTGCAAGAATGTTAATAAACTTTGTTATATATTTTGCATTTCTTTACGTGTCTGCATAAAATAAAAAACGCGTCAAGGTACGTCAAAGGTAGCAAACTTTTTTACATTGGCCGAGTTTGTCATCTTTTCAGAATTTTTTTAGGTTCTGCAGAGAACTAAACTAAGGAAAGCAGGGATGTAATTCACTGTGACACATAATAAAACCAGAAGAAAATGTTTTTGACCCAACGTCTGCAGTGTGCATTTAAGTCTCCTGCAAAATCGGGAAGCATTGCCGTAAGAAAGAATGAGACACTCGTGCTGCCACTTTCAAGTAACTTTTTGATATGCTAGGATCATTTTTCTGGTAATAAAATTTTTGATTCCATGCACTTTGAATATACTCACATAATGTATAAAACATTAAACACAAAAAAATAACTTCCAAACCTGTGCATTCGATCTCTCATGGAATCACCCCTCAGCCTTGGAGGTGATCGAAGATCAAGGGATGCACAAAGGATGAATGGCGAGCCCGGGCTAAGCAATGGAGATATGAACTCCCTGGTACCCCTCATTGCTACATTTGTAAAGCAACGTTTTCGTGCCCCTTCTCTGTCAGAACTCTTTGTGCTTGATTGTTAGAAAATCAATTTCTTTCATAAAGCCTTGCTGTCAGTGAAAGTTTTGAGTCAGTGAAATTTTTTTAGTTAAAATAATTATCACTTCACAGTGCAAGCATTTTTGCTAAATGAAAATCACAAGAATAAGCTTTAAGCATTTATTCATTGTACGTGCCCAGCACTCACCACCTTAAGAGATGTCACCACAATTCTAGAAGAGATAGCATGAATTCACGTGCGCTCACAGCAATCCCACTTTCAGCAGACAGTAGTGAAACAGAGAAAATAGCATTGAGTGCAAACCAAGTTTCTGGTTCATGCAAGACACCTCACTTAAAGGGGCCCTGCAACACTTATTCCATGAAAGAAATTCACTAAAGAGTTTATTGGCTCGCGAATTTACTGCAGCAGAAACTTTTAGAATCTGTCCAGTACGAACGGAGTTACAAAGACTTGTATGCTGTAATTGCATTGTTTCTTCTCTCGACCTGACGAAAGAACTGGAAGCCAAGCAATGCCAGATGGCACAGAGAAATAAAAACACCATGCGCGTCTCGAAATTTTGAGCACTTTTTCTCTCTCTCCCTTTTTCAGAAATGTGACTTTTCAGAGCGATCACACGAGCACACACGCGTGAACAAGTAGCGGCCTTTCGAGGCGAGCCCGGTAACGACCGAACCTGTCATGCTCAAATCAACCAATGGATGATACAATGGCTGTGACAAGCAATTTGGAGCGTGTTCTGCCATTTGTATAGGTAAGAGAAAGCAATTTTTAGCTGACTTTGAGAATTCCAGGCCACTAGCTGCGTTATAATATTTGGCTTGCGTGTTCTAGGAAGCGTTGATTACCAATCGGCAGCGTTTTTTGACCATGCTCCAGAAGTGTTCGAGGGCCCCTTCAAAGAAGAAATTGTATAATGTACAGTCTGTTTTGCACAGCTCATTTTGTTCCCACTAATAATCATCATGTCTGAAGAGTAAAACAAGCATCACTGACAAAGGCAGTTTTTTCCCATCGTAATAGGACAAAAGCTGCTGTTAATATATCTTACCACACGGTGATGTCTTGGAAATATTGCCAGGTTGGAAAGGGTGAGAACTACTGCCATTTGTTGTGGCACGAGAGAACCTTGAGCCCTGCAACGAATCAAAAGGAAATGTCAACACATTCAGAGTAATCAATATTCATGAAAGCACTGAGATTTCTGCATAAATGCATTAAAACATAGCAATTGGTGAGCTTATCTTTCCCTCAATGACTTTTATTACTTCTGCCAAAAAAGAGAAGGAAAAAACATTGAAGACTGCCAAGTACTAGTATGAAAGCTTGGTATACATGAAAAAGGTATATTTTTGTGAAACAAAAATATACCTTTTTCTTTGTGATAGCTGCACCTTTGATATGCCTTTGTGATAGCTGCACACAGGTGATCTTCAAACATGAATGTGTCAGGGTTATCTTGTACATGGCTTAAAAGAACTCACCACATTGAGGAGGATCTCCACTACACTGTCGTGGTTCTCGTCAGCTGCTATACTTAACGGACTGTGCCCACTAAAGTGTTCTCTGAAATCAAAGACCACCACTTTGATTAAAACATAATGTAGAATATAATTAGCATCCTATCTGTATATTTTTATTTTTTAGCATTTTTTGGAGACAACCTTTGCGATTAGGAACCCTATTCATGACTTAGCACAATTGGGGCTCCCTTTATTCGCCTTTTTCCAAAAAATGCTATAACTGGGCACTCAGCATGTCACAAAACTGCAATTGCATAATACATCCGCAAGATGACATGTGCATAAGAGAAGTTGTGAGGCACTGACAACCAAGAGCAGTAGATCTCCCATTCACATTGTTTGGGAAGCGTAAACTTATGTTTCAGCTTACAGCGCAAAAGAGAAAGGGGACGGAGAGGCATACAGAGCTTTGCATTCAGTGCACTGTGTGTGTATGTGTACACATGTGTGTTCTGTGCTTCAACCTAAAAGTTAACCACTTGCATTAACCACAGTGGCACTGAAAAAAAAAGGAGGGGAGCGGCACAAGCATCTCTAGCATAACCTTGCACGTGTTTGCGTGGTACTATAGCCACAGATCCCGCTCTCTTATAGGCACTCCAGTGGCAGCACTGCCTGAATGAGTACAGATTCCCCACTATCTGCAGTGCTGTGCCACTGCATTCAATCTGAAAAGGTCGCTCCACTCATTAAAGCTACGCAAGATAAGGAAGCTCACCAAAGCAAACTACACGTATATTGCATGTACGTTGCAACACCATGCAGTTCACTTGTAAGCGGTTTTGGTAGCACCAGCACACTGCTTAAGTGCACATTTTTATACAAACCTACTCATTTTATATTCAAGTTTCAAGTTCATTTCCGTTACTAGTACAGGAAAAAGAAGATCGTACAGGCTAAATAATTGAGAGGAGGTTTCAAAGCGCAAGGCTGCAGGGGCATCTCCTTAGAAGTGTGGTGGTTTGGGCTAGTTGGTATGACATGCCGATAGTGATAGTGCAAGAGCAGAATGACGACAAAGGACCCGGAAGGTGTCTGAACGATCGACTTGGAGAACACGCTAACAATGTTAGAAATGGGAAAGATGGTTTTCTTGCTCAGCACTGCACTGAGTGCAACTGTGTGCTTCTTTTCAAGGACACAGTGGTGCTATATTAGCACAGGAATGAGCGCACCCGAATTATCGTTGAGGCCGCGCAGATGGCATGCAAACAGGCGTCATGCACTAGCAAGCCCTCTGTGTCTCTGTCCGAGAAGGAACCAAGGTTCCTCGAAAGTATCGGTGTGCGCAACTAGTTATAATACTTTTAGTTTTACTTTTAGTTTTCCGTTTTGTTTCCTCAAACATATTTCTTTGTCTTTTTCTTTGCTTTTGTTTTTTTCCTTAATCTTGCATAGCTCTTTGTGTCACATGGTTTTTGTCCCATGGTTTACCGTTTCTTCTATGTTTTCGCTCTCTGCGTAATAAACTCAGTTGGAAGTTAGCGCTCGTCTCCTTCGTGTCCCTTTGTCGTCATTCTGCTCTCGCGCTATAACTATCGTTGCGAATCTCCTATTTGAATAGCAAAACAATTTATTAGTTAGCAGTTAGACTGAAAAAATAAGAAAATGACTGAAGTGACAAAACCAACACTAACTCAGATACAAGCAAAAAACAAATATGGTATAAACGTTACGTGAAGAAAAACGTACCTCTGGTAGTTAACACAATATGAACCTAATTGTTTTTAAATAAGCCAATCGTAACAGTGTTTGATGCCAGATGGCCATGAATTCCATAAAATGATAATGCTGAGAAGTAGGCAGCGTGGCAAACAAAATTAGTACAAGTAGCAGATAGCAAAAATTTCCATTTGTATGAAATCTAGTTCAATAATGTTGATAAGTCGGCTAGTTGGTGATGATTATTTCACCGTAAGGTTAGGTAGCACAGTTTTTAACATGAAAAAGAGTGATAAGAAGTAGCGAGTGTCATGTCCATGTTAAAAACTATGCTACTTAACCTAACAGCAAAATGAACAAACCTAGTTTAGTTGAAGTTATACAGAGCATCAGGAGAAAACACACTTGATGGTACAAGATGTTTCAGTAACTTGAAAAGCATGATTATAAGATGATAAGCAGTAGGAAGTGTCTCAAAGTTGTAAAAAAAATGACAATATGGACTGAACATTATTAATCTTATGGCTTGCTTTTGAATGTACTGAATGGGAAATAAGTAGATTAGGTATGTATTGGCCCATCTAGTGATGCAATAATTAATATGACTGCAAATGAAAGTGTAAAATAACTTGATTAGAGTAGAAGAAAGAAGCGTACTTAAAAAGGTTCATTTTCTTAGACACAACTATAACGAGATCTAACAGACAATCATGCCAAAGAAGGGATAGGGGATGCTATTAGAAAGTAATTGTAATGTAAATGTGAAAAAATAAAAGTGGACAAAAAGGTGACTTGCCATGGGCAGGATCTGAACCTGCGACCTTCAAATAACGCGTCTGATGCTCTCCCAACCGAACTACCACGGTGGCTATGCCCCCATTCACTTTATAGGGTATGTTATCATCATCATATCATCAGCCTGTCTATGCCCGATGCAGGGCAAAGGCCTCTCTTATGATCCGCCAATCAACCCAGTGTTGTGCTTTCGGTGCCACGTTATACCTGCGAACTTTTTTTACTCTCATCGGCCCACCTAACTTTCTGTCTTCCCCTCACCCACTTGCCTTCTCTGAGAATCAAGTCAGTTACCCTTAATGACCAGAGGTTATGCTGCCTACGTGCTAAGTGTCTGGCCCATGTCCATTTCTTTTTTTTATTTCAACTATGATATTTTTAACCACGGTTTGTTCTCGACCCATTCCGCTCCCTTCTTGTCTCTTAAGGTTACACCTGTCATTTTCCTTTCCATCGCTCGCTGCATTGTCCTCAACATAAGCTGAAGCCTCTTTGTAAGCCTCCAGGTTTCTGCTCTGTAGGTAAGTACCGGCAAAATGCAGCTGTTATATACCTTCCTCTTGCGGAATAGTGGCAATTTATCAGTCATGATTTGAGAGTGCTTGCCGAATGTGACCCACCCCATCTTTATTCTTCTAGTTATTTCAATCTCATCGTTCGGCTCTGCAATTACTACCTGTCCTAAGTAGACATATTCCTTCCCCACTTCCAGCGTCTCTCCACCTATTGCAAAGTGATGTTTTCCGCTGAGACTGTTGCACATTACTTTAGTTTTGTGTATATTATTTTCAGACCTACTTTACTGCTTTCCGTGTCCAGTTCAGTAATCATGAGCTGTAATTTGTCCGCTGAGTTACTCATCAGGGCAATGTCATGAGCGAGTCGCAGGTTACTAAGGTGCTCTTCATTAACTCTTATCCCTAACTCTTCCCAAGGTAAGTCCTGAAAAGCTCCTGTAAACACACGGTGAATAGCATTGGAGAGATCGTATTTCCCTGCTTTACACCCTTCTTTATTGGTATTCTGTTGCTTTTTTTTTATGGAGAACTTTGATGGCTGTTGATGCTCTGTATAGTTCTTCCAGTATGTTTATGTAGGGTTCGCTGATGCCCTGATTCCGCAGTGCCTACATTACTGCTGATGTCTCGACTGAGTGAAATGCGTTCTCGTAATATACGAAAGCTATGTTATAAGGGTCAGTTGTATTCAGCACATTTTTCTATTACCTTATTGATAGTATGATAATGGGCTATTGTGGAGTAGCCTGTACAAAATCCTGCTTAGTCCTTTGGTTGATCAAACTCTAATGTTGCTTTGATTCTATTAGCCATTTATTATTTTTTTTGAAGAGGTCTGGGGTGCAACCACACTGGCGACCACCTGCCAGTAATGCACTTACCAGATCAGAATTGGCCACCCTGGTGCAGTACTTGGTCACTACCTTCCATGACTACAGCAATTAACCCTTGGCCCTCAGTCCCAATGGCTGCAAAGCAACTGTACAAGGTGGCAGTCAAACCTATGACGCAGCGGAGAGTGCTAAGAATCTCCAGGTCTGGACAGGCCGTCATTAAAATCTGAACTTGGCTACATTCAACGGTTGAACACTATCTAGTAAGGCTAGTCTAGCTGTGCTATTCGAAGAACTGGAGGGTGTTAAATGGGATCTAATAGGGTTCAGCGAAGTTATGAATACAAGTGAGGCTTATACCGTGCTGAAGAACGCACACGTCCTATGCTATCGTGGATTAGTTGACGGAAAAGAACTAGGGATGGGGTTTCTCATACACAAGAATATTGCTGGCAACACAGAGGACTACTATAGCATCAGTTAGAGGAAGGCAAGTATTAAAATTAAGTTTAACAAAAGGTACAAGAAGAAGGTAGTACGGGCATACGCGCCTACATCGAGCCATGATGAGCATTTGGTTGAACGCTTCTATGAAGACGTAGAGTCAGCCATTAATAAAGTAAGGGCACAGTATACTATTCTGATGGGTGACTTTAAAGCCAAAGTAGGCAAAACACAGGCCGGAGTCCACGCAGTGGGAGAATATGGCATCATCTCTAGAAATGACAGAAGGGCTATAGTAGTAAAGTTCGCAGAACGTAGTACTTTACATATCTTGAATACATTCTTCAGAAAACGGGCTAACCATTAGGGGACATGGCAAAGTCCTAATGGCGAAAATAAAAATAAAGTATACTCCATTATGTGTGCACATTCAAACATTGTACATGATGTACAAGTAGTTAGAAAGATCCGATGCTGTGACCATAGAATGGTAAGAGCTTGTATTCACATAGATTTAAAAAAGCAAATACAAAAACTGATACGCAAGAAGCCAATTGATGAACTAGCGGTGAGAGTGAAAATAGAGGAATTCAGAGTTTCGCTTCAAAATCGATTCGAGGCACTAAACGATGATCTTACCAGTATCATCAAAAAGTGTGCAATGGAAGTCGGAGGTACGGTCACTAAACAGGACATGGGCAATCAATCTCGGAAGATAAAAAATCTCATTAAGAGACGACAAATCACGAAAGCCTCAAGTGCAACAGACAAAAGTGAGCTAGTAGAGTTTTCAAAGTTGATCAATAGGCGTAAGGTAGCCGACACCAGAAGGTAATACATGGAGAGAAAGGAGCAGGCTGTGAAAAGCGGCAGAAGCCTAAAAGCTGCGAAGGCAAACTTAGGCATAGGCAAAATCATATGTATTAATGATCAAATAAAATTAATTAAAAGTGTACACTGATTGATAATCTTTCTGAAGCAAGTATGGGGCAATAGAAAACCATAAAAAGATAATACCAATAGAAAAACTATAAGAGCAAAGCTGCTCTAACATCTGTTACCTCCCAAGGTATCCAGGAAGCAGATTCCAATGACTCGTACAATAACCTGCTTACAAACACATTTTGCGAGTTAGCCAAAGTGCTGTCCACAAAGCGAGACATGGAAGACCACTTGGGTGTACATTAAAGAGCGGGAAGTGCTTGAAATCCCCACTACGATGTCCCTCAAAATCTACCGTGCAGTTTTTTAATGTTACACCCCATAACTCAATCCATCACAAATATACTACACTATCATTTAATTCACTCTAATCAACAATAACAACAGGACTACTTTGACCACTCCAATATAAAATGGCTTATTTTGGAGTTGTGTTATTCACGTGTGTACTTCATCCAAGTTGAGTAAAAGGAACAGCCACCAAGTTCAGGAGTCTGCTTACACACAGTTGATGTTGACCCCCAAATCAACCAGCAGTTGCACCACTGCAACATGGCCCAGAGCAGCAGCATGGAACAGAGCCGTGCGGTCTTCACAGTCCCTCAGCTCAAGGTCGGCACCATACTGAGTGAGAAGGTAGGCACAGCTGACTTCTCATCAATTATTTGACCCCAAAGGAACCAAACAAATGATGATCATAAGAGCGGAACAAGCAGTATAATCATGTCACAGTATACAAAAGAAACAGTAGTAAATAGTACAAGCATACAAACAATAACAATGTGGCACCCGAAAAATTGTGCCCACAAAATGTCACGCACAAAAGATAAAACACTGCTATGTAGTGTGGAAGTCACTACTATGTTGTTAGTTCGTAGCACCCCCTTCTAGCTGTGAAGCATTTGTGCTAAGCAGAATAAAGACAGTTGTTGACCCGTCATCCCACTATGGCCTGCTCAAATGCCCAGGCTATGCCTAAGTTATTACCCCTGTAAACCGATCACACTACAGGTAGGTGGAGAGCTAACATGTTTCTGAGTGTGAGTGAGCTGGTAATAGCTGTTTGAACATATTGTTACGGATGTGATGGGTTGATTTACACTGAAAATGCCAGCGCTCAACCGTCACTGCCGAATCACTATCGCTCAAGAGCGTCCTACCTCTTCTTCTTTCTCGCTCTTTCAGTTCGCGTTACATTTTCCTCCAGGCAAGACGAAGCTCACCGAGCGAGTAGAAGCGATCAGTTGTTGTAGGGCTTCAATCGGGCAATGTGCACAATTTGCATCTTACGCCAACGCCGGTTCTGAGCTGTCACTTTCGCTACAACGTAACTGACGTCACTGAAGCACTGAGTAATGACAAATGATCCTGTGTACTTGGAAAGAAGCTTCTGACAAAGCCCCTTCTTTCGAACGGGTGTCCACAGCCAGACAAAATCACCCTTAGCGAAAGTCACAGGCAGGTGTTTTGCGTTGTAACAGTCTTTCGCGCGAGCGTGGGCGGAGAGATTGCGGAGCCAAGCAAATCGACGAGCTTCTTCGGCGCAACACAATGTCTGCAAGGCACTGGCGTTTTCGTTCGTGGAAAAAGGAAGTAGGGTGTCAAGGAAACTTTGGGGATGACGAGCATACAGAATAAAGAAAGGCGAATAACCTGTGACCTCGTGTTTCGTGGTATTAAAGGCGTATGTAACAAAAGGTAATACGGCATCCCAATTCTTATGATCCGCCACGACCTACATTGAAAGCATGTTGATGATGATATGATTGGTGCGCTCAGTGAGGCCGTTGGTCTGTGGGTGGTATGGCGTGGAATGCCGATACTAGCACCCACAAAGCCACAGCAACTCTTCCACAACGTCAGCGGTAAACTGCCGGCCGAGATCACTTATCACCACACGAAGGGCCCTGTGACGGAGTATAATCGAGTGCAGAAGAAACCATGACACATCAGATGATGTGGCTGAAGCAACCGCCATGTTACAGTATTCCGCGTCAGGTAATCTACGCACACAATAATCCAGCGGTGGCCGGCGGTAGACTTGGGGAAAGGGCCCGATAAATCTATGCCGACTTTTTCGATGGTGATGTCGGTAGCTTAACTGGTTGCAGATGGCCGGCCAATGGCGTGGTAGGTTGTTTGTGGCGTTGGCAGACATGACAACTTGCGACGTAGTGCTTGGTAGTCTTCCAGAGTCGAGGCAAGTAAAAACGATGTCGGATACGGTGAAGCGTTCGGGCAAATCCAAGGTGCCCAGACGTGATGTCATCGTGCATGGCTTGGAATACCGCAAGACACAGGCATTCTCGCACGACAAGGAGTGGTGTGGAACCACGGCTGGAGTATTTCTTGCGATATAGTAGGGCGTCATGAATCACAAATGGCGTGGCGCATTTAGAGGTACGAACCACATTGATCATTGGTTTCAGCGAAGGGTCCCGCTGTTGTATATGATGGAAGACGTCCAAATTGGGGAAGTTGAAGGACATGGCAGCCAGGTAGTTATCGAAATCATCATCAGCAGCATCCACAGTCGCAGATGGAAGACGAGATAAGCAGTCGGCATTTGCGTGACATCGACCGCTCTTGTAGGTCACAGAATAATTATATTCTTGAAGCCGTAAGGCTCAATGAGCCAACTTACTAGCTGGGTCACGTAGTCCGACAAGCCAACAAAGCGAATGATGATCTGTGACGATCTTGAATTGCTGGCCATACAAATAAGGTCTGAACTTTTGGACGGCGAAAACAACCACAAGACATTCCAGTTGGGTGACCATATAATGCCTCTCCATTTTAGTCATAGTACGACTTGCATACGCCACGACCTGCTGGCGGCTGTCGTGATATTGAACCAGCACGGCACCAACACCGATACCACTAGCATCTGTATGCAGTTCCGTGAGTGCGTTTGGGTCGAAATGGCGCAAGAGGGGCCCGGAAGTAAGCAAATACTTCAGCTGCTCAAAAGCAGCCTCACACTGAACGGTCCATCGGAATGGAACGTTTTTGTGGAGCAACTCTGTCAGAGGATGAGCAAGCTGGGTGAAATCTTTGATGAACCGGCGAAAGTAAGAACACAGGCCCACGAAGCTACGGAGATCCTTCACAGACGTTGGTTGCTTGAAGTCTCGGACAGCATTGATCTTTTGCGGGTCTGGCCGTATACCATCCCTGTCGATTAGATATCCAAGCACAAGGGCTTGAAGCTCACCAAAACGACACTTCCTTGCGTTTAAAACAAGACCAGCTTGTTTGACGCAATCTAGAACAACGCGAAGCCGATGGTTGTGCTCGAGGAATGTCTTGCCAAAAATAATTAAATCATCGAGATAACACATACATATCTCCCATTTGAGACCACGAAGGATGGAGTCCATGAATCGCTTGAAGGTAGCTGGGGCATTACATAAGCCAAATGGCATAACGTTAAACTCAAATAACCCATCAAGCATGACAAAAGCAGTCTTCTCTCTGTCAGACGGATGCAATGGTATCTGCCAGTATCCATAATTTAGGTCGATGGACGAAAATTATGCGGCCGAGTGCAGGCAATCAACAGCGTCATCGATGCGTGGTAGCGGATACACGTCTTTCTTTGTGACGGCGTTGAGACGGCGGTAGTCGACGCAAAATCGCCAAGAGCTGTCTTTCTTTTTTACCAATATAACAGGAGCTGCCCAGGGACTGCTTGACTCTTGAATAACGCCTTCCTGCAGCATGTCGTTGACCTGATCGGCGATCAGTTTCCTCTCTGACGGGGATACGCAATAGGGTTTTTGGCGTATCGGAGTAGCATCTCCAGTGTTGATGCGGTGGTGCATAGGGGATTCGGTCCACAAGGAACAACGTTTGTCTTGAGCGAAAACAAAGACTCCCACATAGCGTGTAAGCACCTCCTCGAGGACATTCTGCTCAGAAGAAAGCAACGACTTATTGATCATGCGTTTCATCGCAGCTGTGTAGTTGGGCGCAGTCTGATAGATGTCTGGAGACTCTGAGACCATTCTGACGTCAACTGTGGCCTGCTCCTCAAACGTTCCCAGTTTAAATCTGGCTGGTAGGACAACAGGCTCTGATGCTGCAATGAGCGCTCACAAACAAGCATGTCCATCAATGGCTGTTAGGACAGACCGTGGGACCAGCACATTCTTATAGATGGCGTTTGTATGATCGGGCTCAACAAGTCCAGTGCAGGGTACTGAGCGGACGTGAGAAGAGCGTACGGGAACTAGCATTGCTGTTCGAACAGGGATTGTCACATCTTCAGACAATGAAAGCGCATCGATGGGGAAAGTTGGAAAATCGTCAACTATGGCAGCGGGCAACGTACTTTGTAGAAGAATCTCTCCAGTTCCACAGTCAAGCGTAGCACCGCATTCATTAAGAAGGTCTATCCCTAAAACGACGTCATGAGTTGCGCGAGCCAGTACAGTAAATTCAACTTAGAAATTTTCTCCACTAATCGTAGATACAACTGAGCATATACCAACAGGGCATAATACTTCATCTCCAACTCCATGAAAAGTTTCTCTACGATTCCAAGCGAACATTACTTTGTGGCCCAAGAAACAATGCTTAAAATGAAGACTCATAACTGAAATAGCAGCACCAGTGTCTACAAAAGCAAGAGTGTCTACACCGTCTATACACACACGCACTTTGTTCATCACCATAGCAGCAGGAGGAGGAAATGGCGAAAATGACCGCCCCACGACCGCACCTCCATCGGCCGCACCAGCTAGTTTCCCAGCTGATGCGGGGAAGGCGACCAACGACGCGGAGATGGCGACTGGTGGGAACGTGTCAGAGGTGGCATCAGGCTTCGATCAGAGGCGGGGGACTCGCTGCGAAATTCGTTAGGCCATTGTTGCCGGGGACGATGGTTGGCCGGGTGAGCGGTCCAGGTTTCGCGTGTAGGAAGTGGGTACGTCGAAAAACGTGGCGGCACGGGCGTTTTGTGCGTACGAGCCGGGTACGTCAAAAAACGTGGCGGCACAGCTGGCCAGCTGGGACAGAAGCGTGAAATATGCCCTGGGAGGCCGTATGTGTAGCAAACGGAGACTTGTCGGCTTACATTAGCAGGAGCAGAGGTTACAGAAGTACGCGGAGACAGGTCGTGCTCTGTAGGAACATTTCATGATGACGCATAGTAGTCTTCTGGTAGAGGCCTGGTTGACGATGGTTGGAGGTCTCCAGCGGCACGCCGAGATGATGACATCCGGTGGTGGCCGTGATCCGTCGGGAAAACCAGAAGCCACGAGGTGAAATCTGCTGTTTTTGTACACTGTCGGTTTTTGACGTGGCGCTCTCGCATCCAGTAGGGAGGTGGTTCGGGGCACGCGCCGAACGAGCATTGGTGGTGATCATCACCTGCTTGAAGCCAAACGAGCTCTTCTCAAACTACCCGACATACGAGGAAGGGAATGTCTTCGCAGGCGGCAACGTCCATACTTTCAACAGTGGGAACATTGTCCAAGCGCCCGAACTTGGGTAAAATTCTCCAGGTCTTCAACGCCTCGAATTCGCGACACTGCTGCCTGAAAATAGGAGTGTTCAAGTTCTCTTTTGTTACGAGAAAATTGTACACGTCCTCGGCGATGCCTTTTAACGAATGACCGACC